CTCAATTTTTTTATATGAGTACTTTATGAATTCAAAAATATTTGTATAATATTTGTATAAAGTTAATATTGAAATGCAGACGCTAATTGCTTAGTAAATAAACAAAATATTTATTTGTTATAAACTAATTGGTGAATCTCAATGGAACTTCGCATAAGTCATTTTTAGTACTTAAAATATTTATATAAAAAAATTTAGATTTTTGTTACTATTTTTAAAATTTTTGTTCATTACAATAAAATATCAAATAAAATAAATAATCTATAAAAATGGTTGCTAAAAACAGACTGTTATGTTCATATGTATGTATGCAGTTTGTTCAAAACATAAATTTATATATATATATTTTATATATAACCTTACAACCTCTTTAAATGCTATGTTTCTGAAAATACAAAACGATAAAAAGAGAATCGATTTTTGAATTGTTTTGTATTTTACAGCATGTATATGCGCAACATAATTTTTAAAAATTATAGATGCATAAATTAAGTACTTAAATTGAAACAAACTAGATGCTATATTCTAAAGCAGGTAATATAAGTAAAATGAATTTCCGTTAATGAATAAGAAGATAGAGTTAAATTAAGATTTATACTGAAGTATTTGCGTAAACAGAAATATTTTATCATTACTACTTCATACATTCTTTCGGTTATACATTATGCAAGCATAAATTTGTTCAATATTGATCATACGCTAGTCATTTAATAAATAAATTTGCGTAATTGTAAATGTTAATACGCTTCTAAAAATATTAATCACTAAGACTGTTTATTATGACTGTTAAATTTTATAAATCGTATTGATGTTTGCACGAATTAGATTTATACTATTGAAAAAGTAAGAAAAGAGAAAATATTATTAACGCTTAATACACATCTTGGATCATTAGTGTCCTGTGCATTCTTTGATTAGATACAACAATTATATATAACAATTCGTATACAATTTATTATAAATATACGATTTTCTGAAGATGTAAAAATTGCTTAATGATTTTTATGTACTTGTAATTGATGAAAATTAATCCAGGACATGAGAGACCCATCGTGTGTAATAAGGATACCAAAAACTAATATGTGTTACAAGAGTTAAATCAATTGCAATTTTCGAATCAGTTGTTATCTTGTTTGAGATAATAAGAGAAAATATATCTAGAATTGTACGTTTTAGTGATTTTCATACAAAAAATTTAGTAAAATCAATGATGAAACTTCAGTAAAATTAATTCCAATAGAACTTTATAAATTAACTGCTTGATACATAAGACTGAATATATTCTTAGGATAAGTGTAAGCGAAATAAATTAATTTAAGTACATATTATTATTATTATACTAACACGATAAGTACTTAGTTCTGAAAAGTAAGATTTTAATTTTTTTTTATAGAGATGAGGAAATATATTGTAGGAGCCAGAATTAATTGATATGCTTTTTCTTTACTTGCAGTTATTTTACTTGTGATATAACAATTGTATCTTAAAATATGTATTTATATGTATTTTAGTTTGTATGATCAGACATAACAAATTACGTTGCTATCATAAGCGTTTTTACTTTCCATACTTGCATAATTTAAATAAAGTTATTCAATGACTCGTAAACATTAAGAAAAAAATTATTATAATATATAGTAATAATAATAATTTCAAGAATATACGTAGATGTCTATGTTTTCTTTCCCTTTCAGTAGAAAAATTATCATAGATTATTTAAATTTATTTATATTGGATACTATACAGAGCAGATTGCTATTTTATATAATCACAAAGTGCAGTAAAAAAGTATTAATATAATCTATAACAAATTAGAATAGATTATGTATGAATTATCGCGTAAAGTCTACATTTATTTTTTGATTTCTATTCGAAAATATTTTCAAGCTTTCAATTTTTTTAAAGAATGTGTTTATTGAATTTGCAGTAATTTTCATATTTCTGTTAATTCAAAATATACACAAATATAATAGTACTTACCTTTAATAGCCACGTCAATACTGATTCACGGTACGGCACAAAACCTTGTTTACGATTGTTTGTGTTCTCTGTGAGTGATGCAATTACTTTTCCCAAGGTAAGTAAAGACTTGTTAATAGATACACCTTCCTGTTGAACAAAGCGATATATATACAATATTATCAATTATTTAATGAATTTTGTGAATAAAATGTTATATCAGAAACTGACCCTTAATCTATCACCAGTTGCAGAAGTTTGACTCAATCTCTCACTACCAGCTAAGTCAACCAAATTAATTTTACTACGACGATCAGCATCAAGTGGCTCACAATTTAACTGGTTATCTATATGCGTCTGAGTTAATATAATACTGAAAATGCTATGAGACCGTGAGCTTTTCTCATTCATACCAGTTGCAGCCGTGGCTCTTTGCGAGTTTCCCACTTTAAGCCAAGTCTAAAAAGATTGCGTCAACAAAGAAATAAATATATATTTAAACAATCATAATCGTACGTGAAATTATAAAAGTACCTGTAAGTCTTTGTAGTTTTGCACACAATGCTGGCTCAAATCCACGACATAAGGTCCAAAAACAGGATGCTCCCTTACTTTAAGGGGAGCCTTCCTTGATCCATTATTAGTATTCGCCAACAGATCATGTATTTTTTCATTATATATTTCAAAATAGCTAATTTCCACGGTAGTCTCGATCTGTAGATTGTCACGTGCTCGTGTAAATATTTCCTGGCAAAATCTTGGTATGATACCGACTCTCTCATCAAATGGCGTCGCGTTTAATTGCACAGATTCTGTGCCCATTAAACTATAACTTTTTCCTGATCCCGTCTGTCCATACGCGAACAAGCAGACATTGTATCCCTCGAAAGCATTTTGTACTAAGGGCAACACCATATTGCGAAAGACAATCTCTTGATTGGCGTGACCAGGTGTAAGCGGATCATTGTATGAAACAAAGCAATGATCATACATAAAAGTGTGATGCGCAGATTCGCATTCCACAATAACATTCTGACCATTTCCTTCCACAATTGTAGTAATCTTTGGATCATTTAATTCTCTGAAATAACAAATATTATATGAGTAATGCTGTTTGCTAGCAAATATAGAATAACGATAGAAAATAAAAATAAATTAAGGGCAAAGAAAATCAAAACTTAAAATCTCCAAATCTTAATTAATATCTTATTGATAAAACAATTTTATCAATAATTTTATCAGTAAGAAACATTGTGTATAAATGTATTAGTTTTTCAAAAATTATAATTTAATATATGAATATTTCAATTTTAAATAATTAAAAAATGTACACATACAAATATAAAAATTTATTATATAATGGTTAATGTTATTTACTTGGAATTCAAGGGTCTGATGCGTATTCCAACTGTGAGATTGCTACTTTCACCATCATACATTGTCTGTTCTCCAACTATGTCATCAATTTTCTGGGATGGAGTTTCCAAGTGTACCACATTAAAACAATCTGGTGTGCTTTGCGATAAAGCATGATCGCTAAAGTAATGTTTCACAGGTGTCCTTGCAGTGGATAAAACATTGAATTTGGTATTGGCACTGGATGTATTTATTCTCGTTTGCTTAGGTGTATAAAATTGTATGGCAGGTGTTTTTTCATTGAACGATCCGCTAACAAATTTTGTTGTTTTAATTGGGGTCTTTACATTCCTTTCAATGGATGTGACATTACTAGATACATCTTCCTGTTTTGCTAGGTTTGTAAGTTTCAGACATAATTCTGTATTGGATTTATTTGGAGGTCCTAAGGTCTCTGCTATTTCAGGTTTTGATTCCTTCTGTATAGGACATTGCAATACTTTGTTTGTATTCTGTCCCTTTGAAGCTGATGATAAGGGAGGATATAAATTTTTTTTTCTGCAAATATAAAAGTCATTATTTTATTTTGATAAGTTATTTTATTTATATTTAACAAACTTAATAAGATTAAGACTGGATTATTCCATCTTTTGATAAATTTCAGCTCACTGTTTTACTCTTGTTCCCTTATGATCTCCTTATCTCCTCTTACTTTTTATTTATCTAACAAATAAATTATCATAGAGTTTATCTAAAAATAGAACAACCAGCCCTAAATGAAAAGAGAAAACGACAGATTTGAAAAAAAAATTTTTAATTTTAACTTATATCATTTTTTTAATGTAACTACATTTGTATATTTGATTTATATAGACATAAATAAAAATGGGAAAATATTTTATTTGAAAACAATGCATAGTTTACGCAGTATCCTCGATGACGTAAGATAACTTTTCATTCTCTCATCTTGCAAGTGACGGTTAAATAATATCAAGCAAACTTGATCTTACGTTTTTATCGCAGGGACCGTGTTTTCCTTGTTAGAACTCCTCGGCGAAGTCGAGAAGATAGCTTCGCAGTATCCGTGGCTAGAAGATTTCAAGTTCTGGTGAGACATTTCGGTAGAAATCGCAGAAAAAACTACTTAGTTCAGTAGTGAGATGATGCAAACAGAATTTAAACGGATTTGAGTTTTGTGACCTAACTTTACGAGGCACGGGATTCACAGCATAAAGTGTAAAAAATATACATAGACGCGACGTATGACGAGAATTCGTCCTCTCGCTGGAAAGCTAGGGCACAGTATAATTGTAGATATAAAGAGAGTGGCGTCAATGCATATGCCTAACGCTGATTGGTTCCGCCATTAAGTGTCTTTAGGGAAAGTTTATATGTAAGTGCTCGCTTATTGGTGTAGTCTTTTAGATCTCCAATCAGCATCATCATCATTTTAGATCTGGAAGAATACATCAATAGTAGCAAGCTATTGGTAACTGATGTAAAGTTAAAAACACAATGAAAAGCACAGGTGATAGAAACAGGAAATAACAAATTTTAACCTATCAGAAATCATATATTCTAGAATAAACGCTTTCTGATAGGTTGAAATCTTTTATTCCCTGTTCCTATTGCCTGTGTTTTTCATTGTTTTCGGCTTAATCCACCGAAGGAGTCCGTGAGGTCCATCACGTCCAAACTCCGAAGGTCAAACTGGTTGAAGCTTCGAAGATCGAAGGTGGCCGAAGGTTAGGTGGAATGGTGGCTGCTGGTAGTCGTAGTGGGATTAGGATTATTAGGAAGCAGTAGGGGTGAGTGAGGTTAGTTGGGTATACGTGGTTTATATGACGTATTTTGCTGGCAAAGCTGCCTTTGATTATATCTTGCCAGCACAGGCACGTATGTTCACGTCACATCAAGTGAACGCATCTCATTTGTGTCAACGAAATTACAAAGGAGATCACAATGACAGGGGATAACCGGGCCTCCATGCGCAGATGGATCTCGAGGATAATAGTCGCCACGTTCCTCGCGCTCATAATTTTGAATCTGCCGGCGATCTGCGAGGGCCATGACGGTCACAATCACGAGTCGCCGAGTTACAAGTATTCCAAAGAAGCCAATGAAATCTACTCAAATGAACATGAACATGAACATCAGCATCATCATCATAATGATCATGTTCACCAACATGATCATAAGCACTCTTATTCGACGCAAGCAAATACTTTACATAGGGATCACAGTAATATTATTTTAAGGGCCGTTGGATCGACCTTAATCATATCTGCTGCACCTTTCTTTATATTGTTCTTTGTGCCTCTGGATAATACTAAACAACGCGAGTCACTGCTCAAGATATTGCTGAGTTTTGCATCCGGTGGCCTACTGGGTGATGCATTTCTTCATTTGATTCCACATGCAATGATTCCTCATTCGCATGAATGTTCAGAATCGCATTCACATTCTCATTCCCATAGTCACCATGATGAATCAGGACTTCACAAACATGATATATCTGTTGGTTTGTGTATATTGTTAGGAATGACAGTGTTTCTAATGGTAGAGAAAGCAGTACGTATTGTTAAAGGTGATCATAGTCATTCACATGTCCATCATGATTCTCAAGATAAAAAAGATAATTTGTTAGAGAAGAAAAAGGAAAAGAAGGAAGAGAAGAAAAATAACGATAAAACGGTTTTCAATGCACACAAAGCACCTGAAAGTGATATCAAGATTGCTGGTTATTTGAACTTGGTGGCAGACTTTTTGCATAATTTTACAGATGGTCTAGCTATAGGAGCTAGTTACATGGCTGGAAATAATATTGGTTACGTAACGACATTCACGATACTATTACATGAGATTCCACATGAAATCGGTGATTTTGCCATTCTGATACAAAGTGGATACAGTAAAAGAAAGGTAAAGTATAAACAGATACAACATTATTATCTATGTTTGCTTGAGAAAAGTCACTCGATCAAATTATACAAAATATGAAATGCAGTCAAAGATTCTTATAATTGTGACCTATAAAGTTCAACATGTGCAAAAAATTTACCATTTTAAAAGTTTTCTTGTTTTACTGTTTTAAAAGTTTTATCATTTTGTTCATATGTGTAGGCTATGATGTTGCAGTTGACTACTGCTATAGGAGCTTTATTAGGAACTTTCGTTTCTTTATTAGCAGATGGAATGGGTAAGAAACATGTAATAGCAACATTTAAATAGACATCAGATTTTAGCTTATATTCATTTAATTTTGTCTTTGTGTTGTAGGTGATTTTGCAACAAGATGGATTCTTCCCTTCACAGCAGGAGGTTTTATTTACATTGCAACTGTTTCTGTAATACCAGAACTTTTAACTGCCACTAAACTTTGGCAATCAATTATGGAGATATCTGCACTTCTTTTTGGAGTATATATGATGGTTCTTATAGCAGACTACGAATAAGAAATACATTAGCTATAGGATAATTTATTTTGTTATACTATTTTCATTCTTCATTTCATTCTTGCTCATTAAAGCTTTGAAAATATTATTGGATAAATAGTAGCGCAGAAAAGAAATTTGTTTTTAATGCAATTAACTAATGAAATTGCATTTATGTCTCAGTGAAGAACAAGATTATGAAATGAACAGAATTGTAAAAACAATGTATAACAAAAAAAAGATTTACAACAGTTATTATTTTTACATTAAGAAAAAAATCTCAGTGATTTTGTGAAATATAAAATATTTAAAAATCATTACGATTTATGTACTACATTATGATATTATTTAATATAGTTAAATAGTGTTTGATAATATATATATATTTTGTTATAAAGAGTAATGATTTCATATTTGCACAATTTGTTCCTATACATTTTTTTATTATATTCAATATGTTTTTTTTAGTTTGCATATGAGACTATATTTGATAAATAGTTTGTTAGAAATTATATTCCAAATTTATTATTATAAAGATATGTCTGA